TCACGCTTAGTCCCTCAATACTGTATATGGCCAATCCACCCTAGGGAAGATATATATATATATCAGTCACTCAGTACTGTATAAGGCCAATCCAACCCAGGGGAAGATCCATACCCAATTATAAATGATTCGGGCAAGATCCATGCCTAGGGAAGATCCATCCTCAATTTACATCAACTGCACTCATTGGGGGTGTCTACAGACTGCAGAGGGGCTCCTTCAGGCCAAGCGCTATAATAAGCCAGATCCAGGCATAAATCAATAAAATATGTTACGGTGTGCAGTCCGATCCCATAGATATCACTCACAATTAGGCCATCGGCCTCACTCAGTCATCAAACTCTCCGGCATCTCGGCTCACAATGTCATGAAACTAGCCCAAAAATAATGATATGATGCATCAATAAATAGCAACAGAGACTGAGATATGATATGCAATGAATAAATATGACTGAGTATGAAACTTCAATTTGAACATATAATTCAACTACAAAAATGACCTCCGTGGGTCCCAATAATACCAAGATATTCCTAAGCATAATTTCTAGCATGAATTACAACTTAGGCGTTCTAACACATAGAGTACAATGAAAATATTTAGAGAAGATAGCTACACAGTTCCATGGAATCGACTAAATCACAATTTATACGGTGCACGCCCACACGCCCGTCACCTAGCATGCGCGTCACCTCAGCATCAATCACATAACACGCAAATTCGGGGTTTCATACCTCAGCATCAAGTTTAGAAGTGTTACTTACCTCGAACAAGCCAAATCCAATACCGAGCAAGACAAATGATGCTCCGAAAATGCCACCTCGCGCGTACCGACCTCCGAACGGCTCAAAAATAGCCAAAAGCAACTCAAATACATCAATTAATGCCTAAGAAAACAATTCCAAATGATAAAGGTCGAATCCTTAATCAAAATCCAAAACCGGTCAAAAGTCACACCCGGGCCCGCGCCTCGAAAGCCGACAAAACTTATAAAATCTAGCAACCCATTTGATTATGACTCCAACCATACTACTTTCACTCAAATCTGACTCCGAATCGATGTTCAAAACTCAAAAATTCGCTTTATGAAGTTTTAGACAAAACCCCCCCAATTTCTCATAAACATTCATCAACCAATTGCCAAAAAATAAGATAAATTCATGAAATAAAATTAAAACCAAGTGTAGAACACTTACCCCATTCCTTGTGATGAAAATTACTTCAAAAGTCGCCTCAATCCGAGTCCCACATCTGAAAATATGATAAAAGAACACAAACCTCAGTTTTTTATAGCTTCTGCCCAGCAGTTTCCGCATATGTAGTCACAATGTCGCATCTGCGACCTCCGCTTCTGCGGAACAAATTTTGCTTCTGCGAATAAATCCCTGAACCAGCAACCACCGCTTCCGCGATCTGGTACCCGTTTCTACGATCGCGCTCTTGCGTACATTGATCCGCATCTGCGGTCGCGCAGGTGCGCCCAAGCACCCGCACCTACGATCCTCACGCCCAGCTCCCTCTTCACGATTTTGCGATGACATTGCCGTTTTTGCGGCTCCACACCTGTGCCCATAGCTCCGTAGGTGCGGTCACACCAGAACCTCTGCCAAACCAACCTTAGCCAAAATTTTCAAAATGCTCTGAGCCTCGTCTGAAACTCACTTGAGCCCCTCGGGACCCCGTCCGAATATATCAACAAGTCCAATAACATAACATGGACTTACTCGAGGCCTCTAATCACGCATAACAATGTCTAAACGACGAATCGCACCTCAAATCAAACTTTATAAACTTTTGAATTTTCAACTTCCAAAACTCGCGCCGAAATATATCAAATCAACTCGGAATGAACTCAAATTTTGCACACAAGTCCCAAATGACATAATGAAGCTATTCCAATTCCCAGAACCATAATCCAAATCCAATATCCTCAAAGTCAACTTCCGGTCAAACTTATGAACTTTCCAAACCTTCAAACTTCTAACTTCCGCCAATTTGCACCGAAACCTTAGAAATATCCACATGCAAATTCGGGTATACTCCCGAGCCCAAAATCACCATCCGGATCTAACGGAACCATCAAAACTCCAATCCGAGGTCATATGCTAAAAAGTCAAACTTGGTAAACCCTTCCAACTCTAAAGCTTCAATCATGAAATTCATTCTTCCAAATTAGTTCTGAAAAACCTAAAATCAAAACCGACGATTCACACAAGTCATAATACATCATACGATGTTGCTCAAGACTTCAAATATCTAAATAGAATGCATATGCTCAAAATGACCGGTCGGGTCAGCATATTCCACTAATTAATCCACCCTAGATGTGTAATAGTTGCTCATGCTACAATAAATGGGGGATATTTTTTCTTTACTCTCTCTCTATTTTTCTATACCAGTGACCATCGTTGATGACCACCAAAAACCCCATCGGCGAACTACAAATGCTAAAGGATAACACCAGCGACTACTCTTCATTGTTGATTCTCATTCTTTCCTTTTTATTTTTTTTCCAACTATAACTAGATCCAAAATGCTAGATCTGCCCGGAAAAGCCCAACTCCGGTGACCGTATCCACTCCTTCATGTCTCTATTTTCTTTTTACCTCATTTTGAAACTTTCATGAACGAACCAAACTCTTTCTCAATCCTCCGTTTCTCAAACTCTCAGCAAACATCTCCAATCTCATGAAACCTCAAGTTATACGAGACCCCATTTGTGAAACTCAAATCACATAACTTTGGCTGGCCCGATTAGCAAGAAAATTGCAGAAATCGAAGTTAGAACAACTGAAAATTGCTTTATAATATTGCAATTGAGAGTGATGCAACAAATCATATATTGAGTTCTATTTGGACTGGTTTGTGGTTTGAGATTGGTTAATTTGAGCTTCGGGGATTGAATTTTATCCTGACAATTAGAGGAACAATTGATGGTGGCGCAAGAACACAACTCCTATTCTTCAAAACTTGATTTTGCCAATTGGGTCATTCAATATTGTTAGATACTTTTATAGGAGGGGACTATGACACTTGACAAATCTTTTGGCATTGGTCATTCTGGCCAGAAGTCGTCAGAGGGCGATTTCACCATAAAATTGGTAGTGGTAATATGTATATTTCTCCAGATGTATGTGTATAGAGGCACATGTTCTTGACATTGAGATAAAGATATATAATTCTAATTTTGCAAAGAGTGGTTTGGAGTTGAGAGATAGCGAAAGATGAGAATATTCTAATAGAGGGAAAAGAAGGTGAGAACATTTCAATAGTGTTCAGATTAGGTCTCCGATCTGTGTAAGGGTCTGTGAGTTAAGAGAGGGAGAAGAAGACAATAATTTTTTAATAAAAAAAAAGGGTGGGTTAATTAGTGGAATCTGCTTACTTGGCCGCTGATATTGACAAAATATTAGAGGAGTCAGATGCCACGGTGGAGGGATGTTAGGACAAAGGTCAATTGTGCAAACTTTGTTATTTGTTAATGGTAGGGGTGGATCTGGACGAAAAGTATAACGGGGATAAATATAAACTATATATCATAATAGAGCGATAAATTTGGACATTTTCTCAAATAAAAATAAGGAAAACTTACACATATATTCCAAATAAATCTCAACTTACCAACCTCTAGCCATTAGTCATAGACTTACCAAAACTAGCCAATAAAAATTGAAAAACCAAATAATAGGGTTTTCTCTCTCAAAGAATCACATGCAAAAATCACCTTCCATATTTTTAAGCGTGATTAGCAACATTAGATACAAGACGGAAAGGAAATTTCATGGACGGGGTAGCAAATAAGGTGATGAAATACAAAAATCTATACAATATTCCAAAAATCTAAACAAAAAAGGAACTTTTTCAATGGGTATAGTTGAAATTCATTGAAAATATATAGATAAGTCAATATACAAAATTTGAGGAAGATTGGAGGTGATTTGGACTGGTTTTGTATCAAAATTCGTAATTAAATCGAGTTCAAAAAAGTCTTCTGCGACACATGTATCAAACATGTATCACGCATGTATCACACACACAGGTATACATGGATATACATGTGATACACAATTGATACAAATATGATACATATGTGATACACAAATGATACACAGTGTGATACACATCATTTTTTTTCATGTTCAGCTTTTACTTCGAATTTTCAAGTCAAACCACCTCAAAACTTCATCAAATCATCCCAAAACTGAGATTCAAGCTCCTTAAGTTGTGCCCAATCTATTCTAATAACAGCCACTCAAAACAAAGCAAAAATTTGATATTTTTTGCTACAAATAGTTAATTGGCTAATTTGGCTAATATTAGTAATATTTTATCAATTGGCCAATTTTTGTAATGAGCTACTTATAAATGGACATAGCTGATAATTTCCCCTTCATATAATCGATCTCAACTTGTTTGGGACGAAGCTACTGGTGTTGTTGATGTATTGGTGTTTTAAAAATGTTCCACATTGCAACTTTTCTACAGTTAGTTATATTCAACTGTAGTTGTTTTAAGCAAATAAGTGGTCATTATTGTGAAGGGGAGCTTTGGCGTAACTGGTAAAGTTCTTGTCATGTAAGTGGTCACAAGTTCGAGCTCGGAAACAACCTCTTGCATAAATGCAGGATAAGATTGCGTGCTATAGACCCTTGTGGTTCGGTCCTTCCCCGGACCCGCGCATAGCGGGAGCTTAGTGCATCGGGCTGCCCTTTATTATTTTTTAACGTGGTCATTATTAAGAATTTCTCAGCTACAACCTTTTCAAAAAACTGGGCAAGCCCGATACACGAAGCATCATGCAGGGTCCGAAGAAGTGCCGCACCCAGAGGTGTGATGTAGACATACCTATTCTAATGCAAACATTAGTAGCTGATTCACGCCTCGAACTCATGACCTATTACACACGAAGAAAAAATTTACTCATTGCTGCAAAACTCCCTTACGATGAGTGACCAATGTAACAGATGAACCAGATGAATAGAGGGATGCAAGAAAACTTATATTTCATCTAATAAAGCTGATTGAGAGCTGGAGCATCTTGAGTAGTACTAATCTTATTATGATTCTTGAATTTTTCCATAGATTGTGGGAACTCCAACATATATGTGCCCTGAGCTCCTAGCAGATATACCTTATGGATACAAATCAGACATATGGTCTCTAGGTAAATAATCATCAAATTATACCTATGTTGCTCAGACTTTCAAATATACCGCCAGGTGCGTGTCAGATCCAAAGTACTGCATTTTCGGAGGATCTGACACAAATACGACAACATTTTTTGGAGTGTTCGAGCAACATAGCATTATACTACTTTAACTTGTTTTTTACCCTGAATTGCTTGCAATGATATAATGATTTGCTTGTCCAGGTTGTTGTATGTTTGAAATTGCTGCTCATATGCCTGCATTTCGAGCTCCGGTAAGTTACATAAGATCCTATATATCTTCTGCAGTTTCACTTCTGTAGTTCTATTCATTGAAAGAACAGGATTTAATTTGTAGTTAACCAAACAGGATATGCCTGGACTGATCAACAAAATAAACAGATCCACTGTCTCTCCACTTCCAACCATATATTCCTCCACGTTGTAAGACAATAAACCGATAGATTTCTCATTTTCACGATACGTTAAGTTTTAGACTAATTCATCAGCTTCGTGTACTGATTTGTTCGTTCCAGGAAACGATTGATCAAAAGTATGCTAAGAAAAAGCCCCGAACATAGACCTACGGTCAGTTTAACACACTCGCATTTTGTTGTATCCCAGAATAACGTTGCATATACATATATAACTGGTCTAATACTTTTTATGTCGTATAAATTCAGGCTGCAGAGTTGTTGAGGCATCCACATTTACAACCATACCTTGCCAAATGCCGGAACTTGCCACCAGCATTTGTATCAGTAGTTTCTGACAAAGAAGCAAAACATACTAATGAGTCAACTTCCAAGCCTACGTTAAGAAAAGATCAAAGGCTTCCGAAGGAAATTAGACAAGCCAAAAAACAAGACAAGGTTGTTGCAGTTGAAAAAGTTCATCAACTCAAAGGCGAAGCGCCTAATACGTGTAAAATCAAGAAAAATAACCTTCAGATCAAGAAAGTAGAAAATTCGGAGAATGAAAGACGCCAAAGCATATCCGTCAAGAAAAGTGGAAGTACTAATTCAAGAAGCTCCACAAGAAGTACTTTGACTGATCAACATGAAGCTGATACGAAAGAATTCGTAGCTGAGGCTTATAACATAACTGAGGGAAATGCGGGTACAGATCAAGAAAAGCATAAACCAACCGTTCATAGGCCTATAGAGAGCAAGAAAGATGCAAAATCTCAACCAGAAGAGCAAAATAAACGCACATTGAAGAAACCAGGAATACCAAAACCATATAATGAAGTTGCAGCAAAAGCCATTGATCATCTATGTACTAATCGGGATACAGAAAAACACGATGGTCATAAACGTGCAGCGAGTGAGACATCAGTAATGGCTACACTGAATTTGTTACAAGGGAAGAACAATGTGGGAATTAGTATGAGCAATGAAAGGGCAGAAGCACTAGAGTCATTACTTGAATTTTGTGCAGAGTTACTTAAGCATGAAAAGATAGAAGAATTAGCTGGTGTGCTAAAACCATTTGGAGAAGAAGCTGTTTCTTCTAGAGAAACTGCAATTTGGTTGTCAAAAGGATTAATGAATCTTCAAAACCAAGCTGAGGAAGCTAAAAGTGCATAGGTTTCTTGAAAAAATTCTTGTAAAATGTAAGCATTTGATTCTTGTTTTTGAATTGATCTTGAATTAATGCTTGTAGATAAAAGCTTAAAAACAGAAGAAGAGAACAAGGTAGCTCTGTGCTTATAACAGAAGTAACGGTAGAAAAAGGGCAGCCCAGTGCACTAAGCTCCCGCTATGCGCGGGGTCCGGGAAAGGGTCGGGCACAAGGGTCTANGGGGGGGGGGGGGGACTAAATGAGAGGATCCTATCTGTACAGATTTCTATTCCTGTAGCGACTTGATGAATTTACATGCTGTTTTCAATTTCATCCTTTAGATCCTGTATATTGCACCAAAGCCAATAGCCAAAGACATTTTAAGTTCTAGCATCTGTACGGAAACAGCTTTCCCTTCGAAACAAATGGAGTTTCTTTCAGCCCACAAAACCCAAAGATACAACTTGGCACAGTAATCTACAGACTTCTTGCTGATTTCGTGATCCCACAACTGTCCCGAACAGTCAAGATGTCTTTCATAGTGAAACACATGCCAAAAGACAAGTTCAAAGGATTTAAAAACAAATTCCATAACTGCCTTACATAATGGCCATGAACAGTTGCTCCGGGGGTGGCCAAATAAGGCTTAGCTGATCGTATCACTATCGAGTCAACTTGAACAAGTATAACTTGACCCGATTTGAGGGGCGGTCCATTTTTGGCTATACATACATTTTCACAAATAAACTGTCCAAGACTAATTATTTTAGATGTCTCTTCACAATAATTGTGATGGAGAAAATACCAATTCAAATTGACTGGATTTAAAATAATGGTACGACATGGATCGGGATTAAAAATTTTTCCATTT